GGAAAGAGTTTAGCAATGTTTCAGGAAGGCTTTTTAAGTTAACAGATTTACAAGTAAAGTGCAAAACAGACACAAGCATCTGCAAGCTTCTTTTTAAAACTGAGTAAGGAAGCATCAAGCTTTAGGATATGCACTCATTTTCTTCTTCTAAACAGCATTTTTTCTTAACTATCTAGACTGCAGAAACAAAGCGTAACCCTGTGGGTGTGAACCTTCCAGAAACACACATGTCTATTTCTTCCCTTGATGCATGTGTTTAAATCCCAAAGGAGTTCTCAACCTGCCTAGAGAAGAGATAATGATTCTGTTTTCATTAAACACTTAAAGTCAGCAAGTTGGACTCCACAAGCTTTAATTTATCATATATGATATATCTTCACAGAGTATTTTTTCTCCTGTTGGTTGCAAACGTTAACCTTAATTTCCAACAGGGTCTGAGGAAAACATGCATGCAAGTAGCAAACAAAGAAAACTACAGAGATTATTATGGAAAACAATCAATACATACACAATACAAATTTTGATCTCAGTTGTAACAGCATATAAAAACTACTTTGCTAAAATATTTGAAGCAGATTGTTCTTTTTGGTATGGTCCAAATCCACAGTTCCCTTGCAAGGTATACCACATCCATGCAAGCCATTGTTTTTCACACTCTCTATCCGAAGAACTGCACCATGTTCCCTTCATGTTCTTGGGAAAGAAGTAAGTTCATGTAACAGCGTTCAAAAGTATCTATCCCATGCCCTTGTGATGACCCACTCTCCAGTCTGCTTCCATATTTTGTCAGCAAGGCTCTGTTCTCAACTCCAACTACAGCAACAGAAACAAGATCACTTGGGGATCTCACTTTGCCACTCAGGACTGACATGAGAATGGTGGTGCTCTTGGAGTGGGGGGTGGACAGAGTTCAATGCATCTGAAGACAGAGAAAGTAAGCTAACTATAAACCACTCCATTTTATAGGTCTTTCTTGTTTCTGAAGCAGCAGAATATCATCAAGATGAGTTCTAGGTCTTAATACTTTGTAAAGACATGTAACCATAATTAATGGAGCCAGAAGCAAGCTGAATTGACTGCAGTTAAAAATCTTGGAGATAATGTTAGCAAAGAGGTAAACTAGCTTGAAGTTGCATATATGTAATTAGTTCCTAATGGGATTTGTGATTATAGTTACTGATAATTTGATTGACACGAGAAAGTATGAAGTAAGGAACAAGAGGAATAGCTCTAGGAAACATGCTGCTTAAGGAATAAACAGATGAATGTTTATTATAGCTGCACTAATGGACATTTAGTATCATGCCTCTGAAATTAAATCTCTCTATGCTAAGCGCAAAGAGGAAATTATCACTGCAAAACAAACAGATTATTTCTTTTTAAGCTTAATTTCTCCATAAAGACACCTAAGAAGTGAACTCAGACAGATCTATCACTTATTCCTGAGCTTTCGGCCTTCCTCATCAGTTTCAGAATTGTGATTCTTAGCTGGTAATACTCATCCTGTTCACAACAGAAACTGTTACTCTCATCACTTCACGGCTTCTAACTTTTCTAATTTCTAACAAATTTATCAGTCCGCTCAATTCTGCCTGCCTCTCCCCCACTTTTCCTAATGCTTCCCTATAGGTACAGTCCTTCTCATAAAAGTGTATTACGGTAAAGTCTGAGTTTTTCCTGTTTACTCCTAACTTCCTTCCCTTTCTGTGTTTGACCCTTGAAGACGTTATGCACAGACCCCATTTCAATAGAATCAGTCCCGAGAGCAGGGACAGGGATGAGGGGAGGTTCTTGTGGAAGACATTATTATATAAATGACAATAATTCATCACTTCAGATCATGATTTTGAGGGAAAGTGGTTATGGCTGCTACGATCAATTTTAAACTTTCTGTGAGCACATGTTGGGCAGATGTCCTTCAAGTCCATCTGCTAGGCTGGACCTCTGAGGGAACCTGAGCAGAGATATATCTAAAATGCTCTTACAGTAGCAATTAAGACAGCACTTCCCTGGAGAAAACAGAAGTGCTTCAGGAACTTGGGAGAATGTTCTTTATGTTCTACACTATTGTGTGGATGCCTACAGAAAACTCTGACAGTCCTATTCTTTTACCATTAGCCACTAAGCCGTGTTTATGAACTTCTTAGTCCAAACACACTAAATTCCCAGAATATTTGCCATTAAATAGTTTGTATAGTCAGTAGTATTAAATACATTCATTGTTTTGCCTTGCTGTGTAAAGTGGTGTATGTAACGCATATGTCATAAAACATGAAATGTATACTACAGCTTAAAAAGCTTGAGGAAGATGTTCATTGACACACACACCCCCCCCAAAAAAAAAAAAAAGTTTCATAATGGTAAGGCCAAATAATAAGGCTGCTAATTGTTGGCATTCATAGTTGAGAAAACAGGTTCTAAGTAGAAGCTCTCACCCTAAGCCATAAAAGACATAAAACATGAACCATAAAACAGATTAAAAGTCCCAAAATCTAGATCACAGATCTCAGAGCTGTTTGAATTGCCCTGGAACGTAGCAGGACTATAATGGCAACCAGCTCAGCAGAAGACAGAAACCAGCCAAAGCAGAGTGACTATTTGATGAGCTATGCTCTAGTATTCTGCATCTTCAGGAAGCACAGCAGATGTTTTCTTAAGCTTTGTATTTTAGTATAATTGCATTCTATTATTTTACACTAAAAGCTTGCCCAGTGCTAACAGTAATTTCAAAACTGCCCGTTCCAAGGAGATACTGCATCCAGCAAGATGCAAACAGTGAACAGTGGCAAACCCACTCACCAGCCATGGAATGGGTTCTCCTTCACTAGCCTGAAGAACTAGGTTCGAAGATGGTTACACAGGATCTGGTCAGCAAAAGCAAAATTTTTGCATCCAGCAAAGTAGGAAGGAATGGTCAAAGACTCACGGGTGTCACAGGACTTGTGACATATACCAGCAGCTGGCTGACACTGCTCATAATAATCAAGATAAGGAAAGAAGGCAGAACACAGAATGAGTCTGTTCTGAGTATCTTTGTGAACTCTGATGGAAAAACACAGACCAGCAGAAATTTTAAAAAGAAATGTTCAACAATTATCATTACAATAATAAGAAAATTAACAGTAGCAACCTTTCCCTCAAAGGTAAAAATGCAAAATAATTTCCCCGTCATATAATTGTCTGGTAATATTTATTCAAAGGAACTATAGAATGTAATATAAGTTAAGTACATGCTCTACACTGGCAGCTTGATTTATCACTCCCTCTTCCAACAATGTCACTGGAAGGTCAGTGACAGAAATCGTTATTTTTCTTGTGTCTTTTTAGCCATCAATCATACTGCTATCCTTAGAGTCCAGCAAAAGTACTATCAGATATTGCCTGCCAAAGTCCAAATGCATGAGGGCCAGTGCTAAGAGACTAGGCTCTTCTCCGGCTTAGCCGTCTCAGAGAAAAATTGAAATATGGTCTGTCACTCAGGGAATAACTGATTATGGGCTGTAGTGAAACCAGGTAACAAACATTAACACCGCAGAAATACCATGAAGTCCAATCTTAAGTCTCATCTCCAGTAGCTATCTGAGAATTGTAGCAAGCATGTATCTGCAACCAAAAATAATCTGCAGAGAAATCTTGGATAGTTTTGGCAAGTGTCTTAACAGATAAAATAGTTAAACCAAACAGTGTTGATTCACAAACAGTGGCTGAATGCATACTGAAGTTCAGGTTATGCATTTCTCAGGTACAGGCCAAAAAGTTTACAAAACCTCATCTACAGCATCTGTAATGAAAAGGCTGGGAGCCACCTTAAGAACTCATTTAGTCTCTCTCCTACTCAAAGCAGATTCACACCAATGACGTTCCTGACAGAAATATGTCTAGTTTTGTCTATACAGACCTCTAGTTATGGATATCCTAGGAGCACTTGAATGTCAGTGCTCCTCTTCTCAGAGGCATAGAATTGTAGAATCATAGAATTGTTTAGGTTGGAAAAGACCTTTAAGATCATCAAATCCACCCTAACTCTGTTAATTCTACCATGAAACCATGTCCCTCAGCACCTCATCCACATCTCTTAAATAATTCCAGGCTAAACAACCCCAGCTCCCTCAGCTGCTCCTCAGAGAACTTGTTCTCCAGACCCTTCCCCAGCTCCACTGCCCTTCTCTGGGCACGCTCCAGCACCTCAGTGTCTGTCTTGTAGTGAGGGGCCCAAAACTGACCACAGGATTCGAAGTGCGGCCTCACCAGTGCCCAGTACAGGGGGATAATCCCTGCCCTAGTCCTGCTGGTCACACTGTTCCTGATGCAGGCCAGGATGTCATTAGC